TGAATTTAAAATTCAAGGCTTCAACCTAACAGACATGTAGCTCTATAAATTTTGAGTTGAAAGAACAAATAAAAGGATTGAAGAATTACTCCAAGAGAACAAAACTCTATAGGAAAAATTGAAAAATATTCATCAAATGATAGTAAATCAGAATAGGAAACAAAATTAAATTAGACTTCCTTTTTGAAAATTGCAAACTAAGGGTTGACGAAAATTCACAATTTTACGGCACTCTAGAAAGATATTTAGTACATTAATGATTATTGTATGAGATGATGATCAAGAATACTCATAGCCATAGTCTATATATATATGCTTTTCTGCAAGTTGTGAAACAGAGTAATTATATTTGATTTAGTGATATGGTGACAACAAAGAGTAAAACGTCAGGCCTAAAGGATTGTCATCATTTGAGCAACATTTCTTCACCTATTAGTGAGGACTGGGGAGTTTAAAACTAAACCAATGAAGATGTTTACCTTAAGACGGACGATGAATTAAAAAATGTAGAGAGGGATTTTAATAAACTTAAACTTCAACATAGGTGATCTTGGGTGAAAGAGATCAACTATTTGAGATGGTAAAGAATTGATAAAAAAAATTCTTTGATAAATCAATTATATATTTAAAAAAAAAAAAAAGAACATAATTGAACAGATATCTGCCAAATGCATTTTTTCTTCTAAAGAAGGCCACACTAAGCTCGCACAGTGCTGTATGTCAAAGACACAAGCACAAGCTCAAGCTCAGCCTATTGGATACATACAACTGCCACATTAACAGAAAATAAGTGTGCTAATAACATGATGAAAACAGAACAAGAGGTACCTTAAATATGTACATTGATTGAATGATCATCGGCCTCTTGTAGTCTAAGGATAAGAGTAAGCTTGATAGTTTCTCCGAGCAAGAGAATTTTTTGAAGACTGGATCAATCTCATGCAGCGCTACACAAAACATACAATATGAGTGGCAATACAATGTATTCACCCAAAAAGAGTGGCAATATAATGCCAACCAAAAAGGCATAACAAATGTCAGTGTACCATCCACTCATATCCTCTTTTTGATCATTTGGATTGTCATAGCAATTCATTTACTAACTTTATTAGAATCCAAATAAAATTATTGAAATTTAAAGATATAAATGAAAACATTCAAAGTAATTATAGAATTTAAGGGGATGACAGAGATTATATGAATTCTCCACATACATACATCCAAGAAGGAAGAAGAAGAATAGTATTCCCCACATACCATGTCCAACTTTGTTAATTGAGAGTTGCTTCGGTTGCTTTATGTTACCATCTTCATCAAATGCTTTCTGTGTCCAACAATACCAAATGTCAACATGGCCATGTAGCCAACATTCTACAAGGGCTACAACTAAAAAAGTCACTGAAATTAAAAAAAATAAAATTTTAAATGGAAAAAAGGTGGGGGGGGAAATTAAAATACTGCTTGATTAGAATTCTAGAAGTGAACCTGTTTCACAGCACAACAGCAATCAAAGCATTTTTAACTCTTTAAAAAGAGTACAATAGAAATACTATCTACACCGTATCTAAAAGTTAAAACAAACAATGATTTTTATCTAGCTAATAGATTAAAAGAATCAAATCAAACGTACCCAGAATCCAAAAAAAAAAAAAAAAAAAAAAAAAAAAAAAAAAAAAAAAAAATTAAAAAAAAAAAAAAAAAAAAAAAAAACTAAGCCATCTTTCATAGTACTACTACCTATAGAAACATGACTGCAAAGCCCATATCCAACATTCGATCAGCGTCATCCAAAGCCAAATACTTGATCATCCGAAGAGAAACTCTTGCCCTCTCTATCATATCTACTAAGCGCCCCGGTGTGGCAACTAATATGTCCACACCCCTTTCCAGATTACGGAGCTGCATCAGCACAGGTTTGCCCATTTACCCACAAAAACAGAAACAAAAAAAGTCTTCTCTGCCTCGGAAAGCTGTTGAGGTTGAAGAAGATACAACAAAAGAGCCAACTCAGTATCTAAAAAATATACTTGAATTTAAAATTCAAGGCTTCAACCTAACAGACATGTAGCTCTATAAATTTTGAGTTGAAAGAACAAATAAAAGGATTGAAGAATTACTCCAAGAGAACAAAACTCTATAGGAAAAATTGAAAAATATTCATCAAATGATAGTAAATCAGAATAGGAAACAAAATTAAATTAGACTTCCTTTTTGAAAATTGCAAACTAAGGGTTGACGAAAATTCACAATTTTACGGCACTCTAGAAAGATATTTAGTACATTAATGATTATTGTATGAGATGATGATCAAGAATACTCATAGCCATAGTCTATATATATATGCTTTTCTGCAAGTTGTGAAACAGAGTAATTATATTTGATTTAGTGATATGGTGACAACAAAGAGTAAAACGTCAGGCCTAAAGGATTGTCATCATTTGAGCAACATTTCTTCACCTATTAGTGAGGACTGGGGAGTTTAAAACTAAACCAATGAAGATGTTTACCTTAAGACGGACGATGAATTAAAAAATGTAGAGAGGGATTTTAATAAACTTAAACTTCAACATAGGTGATCTTGGGCGAAAGAGATCAACTATTTGAGATGGTAAAGAATTGATAAAAAAAATTCTTTGATAAATCAATTATATATTTAAAAAAAAAAAAAGAACATAATTGAACAGACATCTGCCAAATGCATTTTTTCTTCTAAAGAAGGCCACACTAAGCTCGCACAGTGCTGTATGTCAAAGACACAAGCACAAGCTCAAGCTCAGCCTATTGGATACATACAACTGCCACATTAACAGAAAATAAGTGTGCTAATAACATGATGAAAAAAGAACAAGAGGTACCTTAAATATGTACATTGATTGAATGATCATCGGCCTCTTGTAGTCTAAGGATAAGAGTAAGCTTGATAGTTTCTCCGAGCAAGATAATTTTTTGAAGACTGGATCAATCTCATGCAGCGCTACACAAAACATACAATATGAGTGGCAATACAATGTATTCACCCAAAAAGAGTGGCAATATAATGCCAACCAAAAAGGCATAACAAATGTCAGTGTACCATCTACTCATATCCTCTTTTCGATCATTTGGATTGTCATAGCAATTCATTTACTAACTTTATTAGAATCCAAATAAGATTGTTGAAATTTAAAGATATAAATGAAAACATTCAAAGTAATTATAGAATTTAAGGGGATGACAGAGATGATATGAATTCTCCACATACATACATCCAAGAAGGAAGAAGAAGAATAGTATTCCCCACATACCATGTCCAACTTTGTTAATTGAGAGTTGCTTTGGTTGCTTTACGTTACCATCTTCATCAAATGCTTTCTGTGTCCAACAATACCAAATGTCAACATGGCCATGTAGCCAACATTCTACAAGGACTACAACTAAAAAAGTCACTGAAATTAAAAAAAAATAAAATTTTAAATGGATTCTACAAGGGCTACAACTAAAAAAGTCACTGAAATTAAAAAAAATAAAATTTTAAATGGAAAAAAGGTTGGGGAAATTAAAATACTGCTTGATTAGAATTCTAGAAGTGAACCTGTTTCACAGCACAGCAGCAATCAAAGAATTTTTAACTCTTTAAAAAGAGTACAATAGAAATACTATCTACACCGTATCTAAAAGTTAAAACAAACAATGATTTTTATCTAGCTAATAGATTAAAAGAATCAAATCAAACAAAACGAAAACCCAAAACCCAAAAAAAAAAAAAAAAAAAAAAAAAAAAAAAAAAAAAAAAAATTAAAAAAAAAAAAAAAAAAAACTAAGCCATCTTTCATAGTACTACTACCTATAGAAACATGACTGCAAAGCCCATATCCATTTGCCTTGCACCTGGTGGAGGCATTGTCTGCCTTGCACCTGGTGGAGGCATCTCCATTTGCTCAACAATCCTTCGAATCTGGGGCTCAAAGCCCATATCCAACATTCGATCAGCCTTATCCAAAGCCAAATACTTGATCATCCGAAGAGAAACTCTTGCCCTCTCTATCATATCTACTAAGCGCCCCGGTGTGGCAACTAATATGTCCACACCCCTTTTCAGATTACGGAGCTGCATAAGCACAGGTTTGCCCATTTACCCACAAAAACAGAAACAAAAAATGTTAAGTGCATGGAATGTGTTGGACACAAGTAAAAAAATCAAAGAAATCATTGATATTTCACATTTCACAACCCTCAATCTGGTCTTCTACATATTAGAATTCTTGCAACACTCCAACTTCAATTGCACAAGAAAGAAATCCAAAACGTCAAATCCAAGGTAAGGAAATACAAATTAGCACTATAAACTAGTCAAAGAAATCATGTATTGGATGCATGAGCAAAACTTCTGATTTTGTATAAAGAAATTAACGTTGATTGAAGGAAATGAACTTACTAGGCAGACACAGTTTAAGTGAATAGATCTACTATGATTTTTGATAACTTTCTACTCTCTTTTCAGAGTGTGACACAGGAATAAACAATGGGGAAAACTTACAGGACTCTTTCATAGTAAGATTCAATAGTAGGTCTCCAAGATGGAAAAACTTCTGGAATTTCCTAGCCAGACAACACCAGAAATAATGTTTTTACCTTAGGAATCATGTACCCATTGTACAAAATGTATGCTAAATGACAGATCACAAAATGCAGGAGAAATGAAATTGTTATATGAGGACACATTAAGAGAACATAAACAAATGACAGCACACGAAATTATTAAAATACCTTCTGAAGGCCATTGATTCAGATTACTATGACTTGAAATGCTTTCCAGGGGACCAATATAGAAACTTTCTTTTGAGTCACATGTACTCCAATCAGTAGAAGATAGTCAACCCCAAGTTCTTTTCTCCATTACACCAATGAAATATGTATTAATGAGAAAAGAACCGATTAGAGCATGAGCAAAACTTCTGATTTTGTATAAAGAAATTAACGTTGATTGAAGGAAATGAACTTACTAGGCAGACACAGTTTAAGTGAATAGATCTACTATGATTTTTGATAACTTTCTACTATCTTTTCAGAGTGTGACACAGGAATAAACAATGGGGAAAACTTACAGGACTCTTTCATAGTAAGATTCAATAGTAGGTCTCCAAGATGGAAAAACTTCTGGAATTTCCTAGCCAGACAACACCGGAAATAATGTTTTCACCTTAGGAATCATGTACCCATTGTACAAAATGTATGCTAAATGACAGATCACAAAATGCAGGAGAAATGAAATTGTTATATGAGGACACATTAAGAGAACATAAACAAATGACAGCACACGAAATTATTAAAATACCTTCTGAAGGCCATTGATTCAGATTACTATGACTTGAAATGCTTTCCATGGGACCAATATAGAAACTTTCTTTTGAGTCACCTGTACTCCAATCAGTAGAAGACAGTCAACCCCAAGTTCTTTTCTCCATTACACCAATGAAATATGTATTAATGAGAAAAGAACCGATTAGAGTTTCTCCATCTAATATCAATCATACCATCAATCAATGAGTTTCAACCTTGGCTTTAAATTCATGAATTGGAAAAAAGTATCTTTAAGACCACATCCTGTTTAGACTGAATCACAAAATCTTTGTAAAATCATTGCCAAACTTGCTATTATTTGTCAATTTATGCTTCCACCAAAATTTGAGAGCATTCATTCAAATTTTCAGCATATTCAATCTCGATACCATACAGATACACTTTTCTGAATTTTTTTTTTTTATAATCTGAAAATTTCAACTTACATCGGCACATTTCCCACTTTATATACAATTTGAAAGCATCACAAAATTTGTTAAAAGTGAGAGAACAGTAAAACCTTTAGAACTTGAAGAAGGGTTGAGATTCTCGGCATACAGTGGCGTATAACCTCTATTTTCTTTGTGAAGCAATTTCATCTTCTCTTCAGGGGGGAGTGAGAAGAATCTTTTGCTCTCATCAAACACTTGCTTAAGCAGTTCTTGCTCTACCCCATAGTTTATGACGTAAAAGAAACCACATTCTATGCATGCCTACACCACACATCCGAATACTAATGAATTTGGGAACATGATGAGTCATTCTAAAAAACAAATCAAATTAATATCATCATTGTGACAGCTTCATACACATTACTGGCCCATTTCTAACAGTTTATAAGCTTTCTAGTTAATTGGCTTACCTTAACAATTAACAACCATATGCTTATCACAAAGAATTCTTTAGGCTGTGTTTGTGGAGAAAAAATAAAAAAGGAAAGAAAATGTAGAGGGAAAAAATAAAATAAAAAAAGAAGCTTAATTCAAATTTCCCTTCCCTTTTCTTTTCCCCATGTTACAAAATAAGTTGTTTGGATAACCCAAGAAATTTAATAATATCACTGCACCATTCATAGCTTTTAACATCATAAACTGACATTGCATAATTAATGAGTTTATCTATTCTATTATATAATGCGAGCGCCCAAGTTGGCGTGAACACTGTCGCCCATTTTACCATTCCCAAACTGCCCTTATACAATTACCTCAGTTTATTTTCAATACACACCATCTAGTTAAGCAAATGACTTCCCAAATGACACTATATCACTTGTCCACTATAACACTGCTGCTTTTCTAAGCTGAAATATAACTAAGTATGTAAACATTCAAGTCCAATGGGATGTCCAAACACGCCCTAAATGCACAAACATGTAACTTGATTTTAATTTCTGGGTACTTTTGTCTTGATTTGCATATATAATATACCAAATCTGAAAAAAAAATTAAATTAATTAAAAACAAAAACACACAGATTCATATTTCAGATTCAGATTTAGATTTCAGAATTAATAAAATTAACATACAGATTTCAGATTTCACAACTAAGATCAACATTACACAGTGTGAGACACAACTAAGATCAGATTTCAGATTACACAGTGTGATCAACTAAGATCAACATTTCAGATTCAGATTAACATACAGACATTACAGACATCACAGAATGAGGGAGACATTACACACACAGATTCGATCGGTGCAGTGTAGAGATGAGAGATCAGGGAGAGAGAGAGAGACAGAGAGAGAGAGCAGACCAGAGAGTGATAGGGGGGAGGAGAAGCAGCAGCGATGGGGTTTATGGGCAAAAAAAGGAGTGCTGGGGAGGAGATGATACATGATGGATGCTTCCTTCCTATTCCTCTGTTCCTCTATTCCTCATCCTCTTCCTCTTCCACGGACCCCGATGCCTATAATATATAGACCTTCAATTTTGTCATTTCCATTAGGGGTGATCAATGGATGCACCGACCCGACAGACCCGACCGGCCCGGCCCGACCCGACCCCCATTTGGATGGATACGTGGTATGGGACGGGCAGGTGCGGGGGATTTTGGCATTTTGCGGGTTCGGGTCGGGTGGCAGGTGATCCGCCATTTTGGCCATTAAACCCGACCCGCCCGCTTCTGTGTCTTTTTTTTTAAATTATTATTATTATTATTTTTTTATGTTTTCCCCCCCTTTTCTGATCTCACTAACCTAAACCTAACCTAAACCCATTCATTCATCTTCGATACACACACAACACAGACACACACAGACACACACACACACACACACACACTCTCTTTCTCTCTTCTCTGTCACTCTCTCCCCCCAAAACCCTACCCATACTAACGGCGACGACGTTCGACCAACGATCGACGACGATCGACCAACGATCAACGACAATCTGTGTTTTTTTTTGTGGTATTTGTACGCCATCATCACACACACATACACTCTCTCTCTCTTCTCTGTCACTCTCTCCCCCCAAAACCCTACCCATACTAACGGCGACGACGTTCGACCAACGATCGACGACGATCGACCAACGATCAACGACAATCTGTGTTTTTTTTTGTGGTATTTGTACGCCATCATCACACACACATACACTCTCTCTCTCTTCTCTGTCACTCTCTCCCCCCAAAACCCTACCCATACTAACGGCGACGACGTTCGACCAACGATCGACGACGATCGACCAACGATCAACGACAATCTGTGTTTTTTTTTGTGGTATTTGTACGCCATCATCACACACACATACACTCTCTCTCTCTTCTCTGTCACTCTCTCCCCCCAAAACCCTACCCATACTAACGGCGACGACGTTCGACCAACGATCGACGACGATCGACCAACGATCAACGACAATCTGTGTTTTTTTTTGTGGTATTTGTACGCCATCATCACACACACATACACTCTCTCTCTCTTCTCTGTCACTCTCTCCCCCCAAAACCCTACCCATACTAACGGCGACGACGTTCGACCAACGATCGACGACGATCGACCAACGATCAACGACAATCTGTGTTTTTTTTTGTGGTATTTGTACGCCATCATCACACACACATACACTCTCTCTCTCTTCTCTGTCACTCTCTCCCCCCAAAACCCTACCCATACTAACGGCGACGACGTTCGACCAACGATCGACGACGATCGACCAACGATCAACGACAATCTGTGTTTTTTTTTGTGGTATTTGTACGCCATCATCACACACACATACACTCTCTCTCTCTTCTCTGTCACTCTCTCCCCCCAAAACCCTACCCATACTAACGGCGACGACGTTCGACCAACGATCGACGACGATCGACCAACGATCAACGACAATCTGTGTTTTTTTTTGTGGTATTTGTACGCCATCATCACACACACATACACTCTCTCTCTCTTCTCTGTCACTCTCTCCCCCCAAAACCCTACCCATACTAACGGCGACGACGTTCGACCAACGATCGACCAACGATCAACGACGATCTGTGTTTTTTTTTGTGGTATTTGTACGCCATCATCACACACACATACACTCTCTCTCTCTTCTCTGTCACTCTCTCCCCCCAAAACCCTACCCATACTAACGGCGACGACGTTCGACCAACGATCGACCAACGATCAACGACGATCTGTGTTTTTTTTTGTGGTATTTGTACGCCATCATCACACACACATACACTCTCTCTCTCTTCTCTGTCACTCTCTCCCCCCAAAACCCTACCCATACTAACGGCGACGACGTTCGACCAACGATCGACCAACGATCAACGACGATCTGTGTTTTTTTTTGTGGTATTTGTACGCCATCATCACACACACATACACTCTCTCTCTCTTCTCTGTCACTCTCTCCCCCCAAAACCCTACCCATACTAACTTTTTTTTTTTTGATCAAGCAATAAATATTAGAAAGGCAATTGTTTGATTGATCACTTTGGTGAGAATTCTAAAAATTCTTTAATATTCCTTGGTTGAGAAACTATCAACTAATTGATGATGATGATGATTTTGGGATCCCATGATAAGTTTGAACATAATTTGACTGGGTCCATCTACCTATTCACAAGATTGTGTCCTTGATTTTAAGGGTTGTGTCCTTGATTTTAAGAGATTGTGGAACAGGCATTTACCTTTAGTAGAGTTTGCTTATAATAACAATTTTTAGATGAGTATTGGTATGGCACCGTTTGAGGCCTTGTATGGCTGACCATGTAGATCTCCAGTGTGTTAGGCCGAGGTGAGTGACGCACCTATGTTAGGTCCTAAATTAATCCGAGAAACAATGGAGAAAGTCGCACTTATTCGTAAGAGATTGGTATCGACTTAGAGTCGCCAAAAGAGCTATGCCGACCGTAGGAGGAGACCTTTATCTTTTGAAATAGGAGATCACATGTTCCTGAAAATATCACTGAGACGGGGTTTGATGAGATTTGGGAAGAACAGGAAGTTGTCCCGTAGATTTATTGGGCCTTTTAAGATTCTAGAGTAGATCAGGGAGATAGCTTATCGTTTGGCCTTGCCACCCCAACTTTTCGGGGTTCATGATGCGGTTCATGATGTGATTCATATTTGTATGCTCCAAAAGTACGAACTAGATCCTTCACATGTGTTAGATTAGGCCGAGTTGGAGGTAGATGAGGATGCCTCTTATGAGGAGAGACCGATATGAGTTTTAGACTCTTGGGACCAAGTTTTGCGAGGCAAGACTATACCATTGGTTAAGGTGTTGTGGCAACACCACGGGGTTGAGGAAGCGACTTGGGAGCCTGAGGCGAAAGTCCGTACGAAGTATTCGGACTTATTTGTTGATATTTGAGACTTGTGTTGAAACTTTTACGTATGTTGTAATATATATATATATATATATATTGAGCATTGTATATATTTCGGAGATTTGAATGGTAATTATTAATGTTGAAACACTCGGTGTATCCTTGTTACAAGTCTAAATGGCATATGGTTGATTTTGTTTGAATGAATGTTCTCTTAGTCTCTCAGCCATGTCGTGCATCATCCTTTCCATTATATCCAACCTTGAGTATGTTGATTCCTCTAGCTCATCACCTCTCGTTCTCATCATTTTCCATATAAAACTTTGTATTATAACAAACACAATATACTTACACACAAATTCATATATTCAATTATGCACAAGTTATCTCACTCTAATATTCAAATGCACGAGAATCCAATCCTTAAGTCTTTTCTAGACTCCCTATAGCTCAATGGTCAAGTGAGTGAGATGTAACTTGTGCTCTGATATCACTCTGTCATGACCCAAACTCGCCTTTATAGGTTTAGCATCATGACCGGCCAGTAATCCTGAGATTGCCTACGGCCTCAATAAACAAAATCAATCTCAATATAATTTACGGGGCTTAGCGGAAGCAATATGAAACATAAAGATGAACCATTGAGTTATGCATACATGAAAAACCTCATATAATAGTTGTGCAACCACTCTTACATATGTACATTCATACAACAATGTAAATCTTTAGCACTCAGTACATTTTTTAAACCTCCATAGTTTTAAGTTCAAAATAACCCCCAAATAACAAAACAAAATACAAACTACAAAATAAAAATAAAAAAAAAAAGTGTATCCTAAAAGGGGTTTTTGTCACTACCCAAACCCGCCTCTATAGATTTAGCATCGTAATCGGCCAGTAACCCTCGGATTACCAAAGGCCTCTGATTTGAATATCATAAAATGTAAGGGGCTGCGAAAGCAAATATATAAAATATACGTAGTCCATTAAGCTGTGTTGACATACATGGGACAGAAAATTTAAAACTAGTATAAAATATATACATATATGACATCATATTCGCATAAGTCTCACAACGCCGTACAAGGTGTACGGATGAACAAAAACAAAACAAAACGTTCTTCACAAGATAAACTCTAAGCATGGTCCACAAACTTGACTTCTTTAACGGGAACCTCCCCGGGAGGCACGGTGGATGGCTGACCCAAAACTCTAGGCAGCAGCTTAGGCCTAGTCACGCGACTGCTCACCTACATACATAATATAAATAGTGAGCGAAAACCCAATGAATAATAAAAAAGTAAAAGGGTTTGAATGAATGATGTCCTAACAGATTCAGAAATAGAAACAGATTCATATTACATATTCATATTCATATTCTCGTTTAAATCATATACAGAAATTAGAATTCATGCTTGTTCATATGTGGTACATCCATTAGCATTAACAAATCAAATACAGAGCATTAAGGTTCATACTTGTTAGTTCCATAAAAGAACCTCCGGTATTAGGAACAGATAACATGCTTGCCAGTTCCACAAAGAAACCTCCAGTACTGAGAACAGATAACATACCTGACAGTTCTACACAAGAACCTCCAGTACTGGGAACAAATCACATACTTCCTAGTTCCACGAAGGAACCTCCAGTACTGGGAACAGATCATACACTTGAACTACGGAATCATTGCCACGAGTGCTTGCCAGAAACTGGACAATCATTCATTGTATAGAGCATAACATTTCACAAAACAGATCTTATTCCACATACGGAAAATAAATAAAGTTGAGCATAATTTTACTAAGTTATTACTCACAGATGGCTCCAAAGCAAGCAATAGAGCAAATAAATCAGGTAACTTGCGGAGCGTGACTCACATAGATACAGAATGAATATGTACTGAATTACACACCCAGAATCATTGACTTGGTTCTTTCTTGTCTTGGTGTGTTTTTACTTCTTATCCCCATTATTGTATCTTCATCTTGGCCTAGGAATGCCTAGGATGCAATGAGGATGCTAAAATGCACTTGAAAACACTTAACAAAACTTGCTGAAAATAGGTCCTCACTCGAGTGCAACTTCCTTCGCTCGAGCGGACATGCAAAATGTGAGTGGTCGCTCAAGCGGTCTATAAATTTTTGCAAAAGTACTAGTTGCTTGATTTTTCCACTCGATGCTCGCTCAACGCTCGCTCGAGCATAAGACTCATACCCTCGCTCGAGCGCAACTTCTGTCGCTCAAGTAATCTGTAAAACACGCAAACTTCTAAAGTGCAAAATACAGAAGGGTTGCTTGAGCGCAAGTTCTGTTGCTCGAGTAGAAAGACAGAATCTGGAATTTTCAAATTACTCTTCCAAGCTCAAAACTCAAATTCAAAGCTGAAATTCATGTTCTTTTGGGCCCAAAACTTAAGGAAACTTATGTAAACTTGGAAAACTTAGTGAATTTAATATCATTTCACAAAATCAAGGTGCAAGGGCATGTG